TCCCAACTACTTGGGAGGCTGAGGCAAGAGAATCACCTAAGCCCAGGAGCTGGAGGTTGCTGTGAGCTGTGTGACGCCACAGCACTCTATCAAGGGCAACAAAGTGAGACTCTGTCTCTTAAAAAAAAAAAAAAACTTCATGAGATGGCTAGAGAAATACTTGAAGAGAAATGTACATGCATTAGAAAATACAAAAATTGAGCTAAGCATCCACATCAAAAAATTAGAAAGAGGCCTGGGAAATAAATTCCAAATAGGCAAGTAAAAGCAATAAAGCAAATGGAGTGAAAATGCCAAAATTCTGAAGGGAAGTTTTTTCCACACTAATATTCATATTTGCCCTAAGTCTTAAGCATAGGGATAGAATAAAGAAGTTTTTAGGTAAGTCAAGTCACAAAAACCTTATCTCCCATGCACTTCTCACAAGAAACTAAGGATGAAGTGCCTTACCAAAAGTAGGGATAAAACCAACAGAAGATGACGTGGGATCCAGGAAACAAGAGTTCCCAATATATAAGAAAAGTTAAGGAAACCCTGTCTCTAAAAAATAGCTGGGCATTGTAGCAGGTGCCTGTAATCTTAGCTAGTAGGCAGGCTAAGACAAGAGAATCGCTTGAGCCCAAGAATCTGAGGTTGCTGTGAGCTATCACACTACAGCACTCTACCAAGGGTGACAAAGTGAGACTCTGTCTCAAAAAAAAAAAAGAAGGAGATAAAACGATTCAGCTAAAGAGAATTAGTCAACAGTCAAGAACAGTATTTCCTCACATTCTCTAATTCAGCCAACAGTTCACAAAGTTGCCCAGATGTCAGACGAAAACTGGGGAGTCACACAGACCCTTTGGCCCACACACTGTAAGTGCTTAAGAAGGTCCTTTTATCAGAGTGTTTCCAAGAGAAAGGAGCCAGAGCAGAGTTAACAGGGCTCAGTGAAGGCACACCACCAACCCAGCCTTAGGACCAACCCTACCACGTGCTTTCATCCTTCTCCTGCCTTCAGCAGCTCAGTTTCTAGACTTTACCTTGCATCCTTCTCCTTCAAACCTCTTAGCTTCTAAACCAGCCATATGGGACAGACCTGTCAAGTACTCTAGTAGACCAGGAAATTCTGGGTTACCAACCATAGAAAGAGCAGAACTAACACTGCCCCATAATTCAAAAAGGAAAAGAAAACTCAGATAAAACACAAATGTAAAAAAGAAAAGCTAAAATGTAATTCTGCAATGAATTACAAATTATGCCTTACAAATTATAGTGACCTCAGTGACTTCTATATTACAAACTGGCCAGGCATGGTGGCTCATGCCTGTAATCCTAGTATTTGAGAGGTCAAGATGGGAGGATTCCTTGAGGCCAGGAGTTTGAGATCAGCCTAGGCAACATCGTGAGACTTCATCTACAAAAATAGAAAAATGAGCAGTGCCTGTAGTTCAGTGAGTAGAGTGCCGGCCACATACACCAAGGCAGGCAGGTTTGAACCTGGCCCAGGCCAGCTAATATAACAGTGACACCTGTAACAAAAAAAACAGCCCAGCAAGGTGGTGGGCACCTGTGGTCCCAGTTACTTGGAAGGCTGAGGCAAGAGAATTGCTTCAGCCCAAGAGTTTGAGGTTGCTGTGAACTGTGACGTCACGGCACTCTACCCAGGGCAACAGCTTGAGACTCTGTCTCAGACAAAAAGAAAAGAAAAGAAAAGAAAAATTAGCAGGATGTGGTAGCATGTGCCTGTAGTCTAGGAAGCTGTGGCAGGCAGATCACTTGAGCCATGGAGTTGGGGCTACAGTGAGCTATGACAGCAGCACTGCACTCCAGCATGGGCAACAGAGAACCCATCTCAAAGCATAATAATAAAATAAAATCACAAACTGACTATACAACGTAAAATAGCACATAGAGACTTTTACCTAGAGAATATCTTGGAAATGAAAGAATAGACCAGACTCCTTTTAAAAGTGAATAAACAGGGCGGTGCCTATGGCTCAAGGAGTAGGGTGCCAGTCCCATATACCGGAAGTGGCAGGTTCAAACCCAGCCCAGCCAAAAACTTCA